GATGGCCTATCATCAAAGGTAAATACCATTCCAGACATGGAAAGAAAATGGAAGTCATCAAAATTGTTTTAGGCCAGATTGGGCAACTTTTGGGGCTATAAGCACATGGGGAATTTGGGAAGCATGCAATGGACCCATGGACAAAAAGGCTGCTGCTGGAGATTTACCTATTCACAAAATGGATACCATTGTGGGCATAGCCACCAGTCACAAAAGACCAATTTACTAGAGGTGAACTACCAGGATACTGTTTTCCCAGAAGGAACTTCGGGGTCCCAAAGCATTCTTGCAAGTAAATAGGATGGTAGAGGCTGGTGCTTCTCTTTGAGGATGCCAAGTTCCAATGTAAGAAAGAAAACTTTTTTAAACCATCAGGTGGGACAGAGAGGTGCTTATTACTGACCGACTCTTGTCCTAGGCAAAAATCTGCTTATTTCTTTGTTAGATTTCTATCCTGCCTTTCCAGAGGAGCTGAAGGTGGCATGCATAGTGCTCCCTCCTCCGGCTTTTGGTGGTTCTGTTATGATGCTTGGTCGCCATTTATATATTTTGGTTTTTATCTTTATATATTGTATGTACTTTAATGTTATGTGGGATGGGTGTGTTTTTTTGGTTTATTGTTTGTTTTCTGTTGTTGTATGCCACTCAGAGTCACATTGTTTGAGTAGGGCAGCCTTATAAATTGGAAGGAAGGGAGGGAGGGAGGAAGGAAGGAAGGATTTTTTTCTCCCAAAACAATATCCCTCACAGGGAATACAGGTAGTCCTCACTTAACCACAATAGGGACCAGAAAATTCATTGTTAAGTGGGGTGGTTGTTAAGTCAGGCATCTTGTGACCACACCCAATTTTACAACATTTTTGTGGAGGTCATTAAGCTAATCACCACGGTTGCTAAGTGAATCCCACAGTCATTTAGTGAATCACATGGTTCCCCATTGATTTTGCTTACCGGAAGCTGGCTGGGAAGGTTGCAAATGGTGATAACATGACCCCGGGATGCTGCAACCGTCATAAATACGTGCCAGTTGCCAAGCGCCTGGGTCGCAATCACATGACCGTGGGGACCCTGCGACAATCATAAGTGCAAGGATTGGTCATAAGTAGCTTTTTCAGTATCATAACTTCAAACAGTCACTAAACAAATGGTTGTTAAGCAAGGACTACCTGTAGTTCAACAGCTAACTACCACACCACACTGGCTCTCAGTTGTGAAACAGTCCCTTATTTCAGAAATCTGTCCTTTAGATTTATTTATTTTAATTATTTATTTTCTTGATTTTGCTCTTGAATTTTCCTTTGTAAAGCAAAGTTATGAACATAAACCATTTGTTTTTAATCCTTATGAACCTCTTTCAGATTTACCCCTTTTTCAGGTTTGTCCTTTATTTTTTCCAAGAAAATATGGTCACTGTAGTTATGCCTGATACTTCAATCAAATATTTAAAAAGAGATGTCCACTGAGATTTGGGTCTGGGGTATCACAGGTCTCTCTCCAAAGTGGGCAGATAATTCTCCTAACTGTCAGTCTATGAAAACATGGCAGAAAAGTACTGTTTCCAAAGAAATGGGCACTTATGGCACAAAGAAAGCTTGATTTAGGAGCAAGTAGACTGCCTGAACTTGTCTGATATTTTGAATATGCCCTGAAATTAGTATGTTGATATTTCAGATCCATTAAAAAGAAATCATTCTCCTGGACAGAGCATCTGAGCATGTGCAAAGTCTCTTTCCCATAAGGGGAAAAAGGGTTTAAACCATGGATGTGAGAACAAAGATCCCCCAAGCACTGCTTTAAGGCAATGTTTCCTAAAAGGCCTGGGTTTGCTGCAACCGCCTGTCCTGCTCCCTGCCTCCCCCACACCATCCCCCGGCTGCTCTCCTAGGAAGCAGATCTACAGGTGCTTTGTAGAGACTGAGACTTGGCACAGGCTGCAGTGCTAAGCAGCCACCCAACCAAGAAATTGAGATTCAGGCCCAGAAAGGCTGTATCACCAAACAGACCCTATAATAAGGTGTGAGCTTTATCTAGAATCCTGTTAGGAAGGGCAGTCCAGGGTGCAATGCACTTCACATTCACCCCCAGGACACTGTGACTGTTCACACACGTACACACACATAAAGAGCCTTTCCTGAGTACCAATTCTCAGTGGAAACCAGCCCTTGCTGGGTAATAAAAAAGAGGGCACCATAAAGAGGATGTGCCATTCACACTTGCTTTGCTTGGGTTTTGAGGCTGCCAGAAATGTTGTATATGTTGTACATGGAAACAGCAGGTGAGTTTGTGTATATACTGGACAGGACAAGACCAGGCCAGCATCATGGGACTGAAGGTTGAAATTTGGGTTTCTTTATTAATAAACAAAAGAATGGCTCAAATAGCAAGATTGGCTCCTCTATCTTTGCATCCTCCAATAACAGGTAGTCCTCATTTAGTGACTGCAGTTGAGACTGGCAACTTGGTCGTTAAACAAAGTGATCACTAAGTGAAAAATCATATGACCATGACTGTGCTTATGATTTTACTTCAGCTTTCCTATGCTTTACAGCATCAGAAGGATACGACTCCAAAGAGCTGGGCCAGCCCAAACAGTGGGGAAGGTTTCAGGAACTCAACTCATGAGGAAGCCAGGTAAAAGGGCAAATCTTATAGCCCTTTTTCCCCACTCCCCACCCTTTGGAATGCTCACCCTGGTGCTGGGATAATTAGCAAGAAGGGAATTAGTGTTTGTATTCACATTCGTTGGAGAGGAAGGGATTACAAGAGAGGAAGCAGGCACACAATGGGGAATATACCTTGAAAGGAATGCAGCTGCTAGCAGCTTAGGAAGCAAATAAAAGCCTTTAGTGTGAAACTGATTAGGGTCTGGTCAATTTCAGGCAGTGTTATGAGCTGCCATTCAGAATCTGACATGTTGCTCCAGTTGAGCCTGTGGATTGTCAACTTCAGGATTGTCAGCCTCAGGAATCATTAAGCCAAGATTTATCTGAGGCTGATTAGCCACAGACATCTGGAGCAGTCAGATGATGAGGCACAACCCCAAGCCCCAGGTCTAGACGCAGGCAGTGGTGAGCAGAGCAATGCTCCTCAGTGAGGTTCCTTGCTAAGCAAAGGGTGAGTAATTGCAGCCGGCTGTCTGTAGACAGATTTATGTAGCTGCTTTGCTTTCAGTCTTTGTTGGAAACAACCGTTCAGTAGCCTAGTCCGTGAACCCTTGAGTCTTGGACCAGCTGACTATCTGATTTGGCATTCTGTGACTCTTGGAACATATCTGGACTACTCTGTTGCTTCTTGGACTGTAATCGGCACTTTTCAGGCAAGTGCTCTCTGCTAGGTATTTGAATTACGATCCCGTCTGCTGTTATCTGCATAAATGGTAGTAAATATTTCAGTTCCTTAGTAACTGTGTCTGGGCATGTGTGCCTGCAACCTTGAAACAGAACAGGCAGCAGCTTCCAGCAGGCTCTAATCAACTAATTAAGGTCACAGAGCTGAACTTGTTAACTTGCCCTTGGCACCTTTTGGGGAAGTGCTGCTGGGAAAAACAACTCAGGAAGTGATAGCTTGTTTAAGCAATCTCTCTGCTTTGTGAGGGGGGAAGAAAGAAAAAAAAAGGATTAGGCACAAGGCAGCCCGTACTAACTGACTGTAATGGCAAACACGTGAATGAGAGGCGTTGCAAAGGTAAATGTGGGCATTGGTTGCAAAGTTACTTTTTCATCACCATCATAACTGAATGTTCACTGTCAAGGCAGTCACTAAATGAGGACTATCTGTAGTCAGTATGATAAAATTTTAATCTGCCACATAATTCATAATGGGCAGGAATAGAAATGAACCTAAGTCAAGAAGTATTTTTTTTTCCCTGAAATGGTCACAGATTAATTGTGTTTGGGGTCCACACATTATAAATTGTTTGTTTATATTAAAGTTGAAGCATATCTGTTTGTTTTTCCTCCAATAGGAACTTACAGAACGGTATGAAAGTGAGCTGAAAGCACTCTGGTAAGGCAATTCCACCTCCCTCCAACGTCTCTTAAAGAGAAGGACTTTACTCATTAACTGAATTTATAAGCACTCAATCTGTCATGACTCTGGGCAGTTTACAAAATATGGCAGTAAAAACAAGAATGTACATAAGCTAAAATAAAAAGAAAGTCCAGAGGAACAAATCTCATCTAATAAACCAAAATGCCACACAAAGGTCTGTCCCCCATTCAAACCTAAGACATGGAGGAAAAGTCAGGGTTTAAGGACTTGTTTAAATAAGGTCAGGATGGGAGCTGTACAAATCTCAGGGGGGATGGTGTTTATTTAAATGCAGCATCTCCCCAGCCAGGCTTAGACAAGTGGGAGCCGTCTATGAGTTTCGGCCTCGGCCCTCATGACCTCATAGGCATTAAGATTAAAACAACAGGTTGACCAACCGCATCCTTGGCCTGAGTTGATTTCTATCCATTGTTGAAGACTTTGCAGGCAATCTTAAGGTTGCCAATACATTGGAAGCCTTCTCCAGATAAGCACCCTAATACATTTGCTTTCGGGTAGCAGACAACAGTGGAACATTCTTTCACTCCCCTGGGTAAAATATTTAAGCTGCAATCTTATGGCTATTTCTGTGGGAGTAAGTTCCACTGAATTCAATGAGATTGATTCCTGAGTACATATGTTTAGGATATTGGTGTCAGGCGTGCTTAACATAAGCTTTTCTGAACCTAGCATCCTTCAAATTCAGGACAGATGTCTTAATCCTTAATTTCCAGGCTTATGTACCCACATTGGCTGATGCATTGCAGGCCAAGGAATGGTCTGGCAAACGGTTTTGAATATTTACAATAGTCTCCTGCAAAGATCTGGGCAACGCTAGATGGCGGTGACGGTAGGGGGTCTGTAGGTCTGTATCCTTTTGCTGCCATCTAATGGGTCTCCAGAGTTTTGCAGCCCATATATTATATGCCTGACACCCATTTCCCCTCCCCCTTATTCCAAGGAAATCACAAAATTTTCTTGAAGAACAAATCCGTGAAATTCAGAGCCTTAAAAAAGAGACAGATCGTCTGCGTTCTGAGATCAGCAGTATCAACGAAGGCATCCTATGGTCTGTAAAGCAAATCCTTGAGGAAAGTGACATCCCAGGAGAGAACACAGATGTAAGAGATGTTTCTTCTTTTGAAGAATCTCAAAAATTCCCTGCTCTCCTATCTTTCTGGATTATCATTCTCCTTTTTACATCTGTTGCTACCATAGCCTGCCAATTTACTTTTCTTTTACAAAATTAACATCTATTAAGCTTCTTCTCATGCCCAGCCTCATGAGTACCAAATATGTTTTTAAATGTTTGAATGCAATATACCAAACACTGACTCACATTGGGGGTCCCTTTCCTGCTGCAAGGGATATATTATTTCATACTGGACACCAACATCCCAGGACTAAATAGGCTTGCATGGTGTATAGTTAGCTCTTTATGTGTTTACATGTCTTCAGCAAGGACATTGTGCACCTTATACTGTATGATGGATGTTATTTTGTCTGTTTGGCTAAGGAAGTGCCAGGTGTGCAGTAACACAAGGCAAATAGTAGGACTACTGGATCTAGGCTGGAAAAATGTGGACAACCCCCAGATAGGGGTTTCCCGTCACTTGTAACAGTGATACTCATAGTAAAAGATGTTCCAATTTGTTTGATGTCTTTATGGTCAAAACATAGCAGTTAGAGTTGTTGGGAGTTGGGTGGCATACACATTTAATAATAAGTAAATAAAATAGTAAAATTATGGAATTACCATTTAACAAAACCTCAGGGGGAATTTGTAGTTCTCAAACCTGCTGAGTGAGATGGCCTGGCTAGATGGATTGGTGGTCCTGAGAAGTATTAAATCACCTCTCCTTTCCATCCAGTTTCTCCTCTGCAGAAGTCCCAGCCTTGACCTCCAGAGATCACAGGCATTGCATGAAGATTTCTGTGTTGCCATGGAGTTTTGTCTTTTGAGGACTGGCTCAAAAGTGCCTTTGGCTAGGGGCTCTCAAAATGAAATGCTATCTGACAGTGGTCTGAAAGATTTGACGAGATTGATGAGCTGAGTCAGTTCCTAGAGAAAGCAGGAAGGATATTTAAAATAGAGCTCTCAGTCATGCCCCAGGGCTAGCTGCAGTGCTGCTTCATAACCATCGCTTTTCCAAGTACTTAAATCAGATATGAAGACATCTGAATATTATCTAAAAGCCTGGGTAGTACACACTGTTTTAAGCACCAGCAGCCACTCTTCCTTAGCTAAAATTAGATGCAAAAGAAATATTATTTCCAGGATACCAGTTCACATTCCTTTTCAGCCCATTCACTTGGGCACACTTCATTCCTATCTTCACTCAGCAAACTTGAGGAACAAACATTTTTTTCCTGAACTGGCAAATTTTGGCTCTTTGGACATGATGCTCGTATTCTTGAGTCTGTTGCCAGCAACTGGAACCAAGTCATGGTACCATTTATAATTCATGGTGTTGAATGTATGTCACTGATGTTTGCAATAAACCATTCCTTTAGATTCGCCTGATGGATTTTTCCCCTCCTTCACAGCAAGTGCTTGACATGATCAATTTGACTTTTAAGAAGATTTATGAAGATCACGTACAAATGGCTGACTGGGCTCAAAAAACAGTAGGTAATGCTGAACTGTTCTTACATTTCACCTGAAGTTTCCTTCTTTCCTTCTATGAAAGTCATTTAAATGCCTATTCTCACTTAAAAAGGAGATCAAATCAAATCAATTCTTATTATGGTCATAGACCAGCTTCTCTTTCATCTGAAGTATGAGTCCTGATCACTTCATGAATGCAGGTCTACAGTTTTCATGACAGTAATATGAAAGTAGTTTGCTGTCACTTTCGTCTGAGTGTTTGCTGTGGTTTTTACTTTGCAGTCTAGTCTGCAGCCCTGGGCTTTCTGATGGTCTCCCATCCAGGTAGTAACCAGGTCCAATCCTGTTTCACTTTTTAAGATCAGCCAGGGCTAGCTAGGTGCTGCCATCTAGTTGGCATAGGTTCCCCTGAGGAAACATGTATGGGTAAGTGTAGGGTGGCCTCTAATGCTAACCAGAGTGCTTATGAAGGAGGGAAATGTGCAAGTGCAAATTTTTGAGGGAGGGATATTGTTCCAGTTGCTGATCATTTTCTCCCTCATCCCACCCCCACAACTAGAAGTAACCAAGATGGGGGAGAAAAATCTCCTTCAGTAAAACCTAAGCAGGGAGCATGACTATGCAAGGGCACCCCCTGCACACCCCATCTCTCATCTGCCACTTCCCCCTTATAAATGCCTTCACCAGCATAGCCCTCATGTCATCTTAGTAAGTAAGCAGAAGCCGAGGCATGTGCATTGTGGAGAAAACACTCATTCTGCCTTCCATTATTCTCAGTAGCCAGCAGGGATATTCATAGGGAAGGGATCAAAAAAGTCAAGATGGGGGCCACAACCATCAAAGCCCCATTGCAATGCATGTAAAGAAGGGGTGGGGCTTTGATCGCATGGTTGTGACCCCCATCTTGACTTTTTTGACCTCTGGCAGACATATGCAGCCCATTAAATCTTCTGTGAACACCAATAGCACCTCTTTATTTGAGAAGCCAAGCTCTTAGAAGACCCCTCATGTTTGGACCTCAACTTCTAACTTCTGGAAGGATGGAAAGAACATAATCTCCTGGCACAGAAAGCAGGGAATGTTGCTTTAAAAAGCTTCCAGCATTTGTTCACTTAATTCTGCCACCACTTACCTGGAGTCCTAATACCCTGCAGCCTTCTGCTATCCCTTTTCTCTCTCCATCCAAAATTCTGGAAGCATCTGATTGCTCCTGACTGGATCCCTGGGGGAGGGAATAAAGGTTTCTGCTGCAGATGTCCAGAAGCTATGACCCAGTGTAGCAACATGGACACATCCCTAAATAAAGGGATCTACCAATTTGACAAGGAGGTTGGTTTCTTTAGAAATAGCTGCCTGTTTCAGTATCTGAGAATAAGTAGTAGAACCAACTTCCTTAACTTCACGTTTGGCAGTGAACAAAAAGCTATCTGAATAGTATATACAATCCACCTTTTCTTATGCTCTCAGAGCAGAGAGATACAGCTGTTACGTTATTCCATGCCCCTGTATACAGGTTTTATCTGACTTCTGCTGGGTCCCAAGACCTGGATCACTTCTGAAGTTGCTGCACTGTACAAAATTGATGTACAACTGCCCAGGGTCTCTGGGAGTCAGGTGACATATGAATAATAACAGCCACCACCACAACAACGCTAAGGTCCATGAGTTCAATTCTCAGGAGAACCCCGTTAAATAATATCTAGCTACTTATGTCTGAAATAGAACAAAATGAGTCACGTAGTGTCTGTCTCCTAGTGATCAAAGAGGAATGCATTTATTCTCAATATGAATTTAGCCAACCAGTTTTGACTTTATGGACCTATATGCAAACGGGACATAATTTTTGTGCCCGTAACCAAATATTTTCCAAAGGTTGCAATGCAGCTTACGACTCAAGCAAATTGTACTCAATAGTGTATACTTGGAAAGTGTTTGGAGGAAATGTACTATATTAAGGGAAAGTGCTTGCAAAAATGAGCGTGATAGGGAAAGGAACACACAAACATATACATAAATATACATGTTGAGCAGACTGATATGAGAATGGAATAGAACTGAATTGAAGATTGGAAAAAATAAGGCAGTGACTTGAAATAATTTTTGACAGATTTCCTTCTCTCTCTACAATGAGCTGTCCAAAGGTGAATTGATATTGGGAAATTACATATGAATGAATGTAATTTCTGATAAGAAGTTTCATTGTATCTTACTCTGTACTAATTCTAGCCTTTTTAAAAATCATCTATCTTCATGGAGAAATTCTATTTATGTGTTCACTAGGAGTTGAAAACAACTTGAGGGCACGTTATCTCTCTCTCTCTCTCTCTCTCTCTAGGAGCCACCATCGATAAAGACAGGACATCTAAGAGTTATGTGTCTGAGTATCTGGAAAACTGCTGGTCTTTTTTATCCATCTCTTCAGCCAACCCCCCTGATACTATTCTACAGGTGCAGTATTTCTGTCATTGCTACTAAGAAATTAGTTCAATGGAATAGTACAATTACTCAACTAGAAAAAAAGTAGTGTCCCTTGAATCCAGCTTGATTTGTTGTAACTACATGGACTTACCCCTGTTGTTTTCTTGGCAACAATACCAAAGCGTTTGTCATTATTTTCTTCTGGATTTTTTTTAAACGTCTCAGTCTAGCCTACAATCCAAATACTGACAAAGTCTGACCCTGTTTAACTTCTTTGAGATCAGTGAAGGTAAGCTTGGTGTGACTTATTATGCTCATTGTGCACATTTTTGTGTATGGCTCTGACAACTTTTTCTGAAATTCCTCAGGACTCATTTTGTCCCAATTTGAAAATATAACTGTTGCATTTCCTTGCATCATATTAAGACTGACTTCACAAATCACAATAATATGATTTCGTTTAGTTTAGTGCAGGGTGAAGGATGCACAAAACTCACCAATTCAAAAACAGAATATTCCAGAGAAGTGTAGAACGTTCCCCTTCTCCTCTGCCCCATGCCAAATCTTCCCTAGATTATGCTGTTTGGGGGGCATTTACATTTACATTTACATTTCTGAATGTAAATCTGGAATTGTTTGTGCTATTTTGTGTTGCCGCCTTTAAAGTTGCTTGCCAACTTGCCATCTCTAGTATTAATCTGTTGCTCTTCCAGGGATATTCCTTTAATCCCCTCTATCCCATCCATCCCCTTTATCTGTTCTTTTCACCTTCTTCTACTTTCCTCAGCCTTATGTAATCATTTTTCTAGTCCCTCATCCATTCCCTTCATCTCTAGGGGGATGCAAATAAAAGCGTTGGAGATCTTGGGCCTTTCCAACCCATTCTCCTCCTCCTCCTTTGTGAGATCTAAAAAAAAAGAGGGAATGCCTCATTCAAAAGGGAGGAACAGGGAAGGAATGACATTTTACTGGTTGCAATTGATTGGAAGACTTACACTCACTGAGCTATTATTCTGGGTTAAATACAGAAGACCATTTATCAAATAATAGTTTAGGTCGCACCTATGCGACCTCTCTTGCCACATCAGCCCTGACACTCCCCATGGTTTACGGAGGAGTTGAGGGTGCTGAAGAGGGGTCAAGAGACATCTAGAGCACCGTTGGAGGAAGACAAAGACCGAATCCGACCAAACACAGGTTAGAGCTGCTATCAAGGCCTACATTGTGACAATAAGAGCAGCGAAGCGCCATTACTTCTCTGCCATTATCGCATCCACAGAGTGCCGCCTGGCAGCCCTGTTTGGGATCACTAGGTCCCTCCTTGGTAGGGGGGATCTGGGGATTCATTTGCAGGGCCACATGGAGGAATTTTCAGAGCATCTGCAGGATAAAACCGCTTGGATTGATTCCAAGTTAGACTCCGAGCATGGCGCAGAGTCTGGGGAGATACCAGGGGATCGTTCTTACCTAGTTATCTGGGAACAGTTTAATCCTGTTGTTCCTGAGGAAGTGGACAGGATCCTCCAGACTGTGAGAGCCACCACTTGTCATCTGGACCTATGTCCCTCCTGGCTGGTGAAAGCAGCTCGGGAGGTGACATGTGGTTGGATCCAGGTGATAGTTAATACTTCCTTGCAGGAGGAAGTGTTTCCAGCACCCTTTAAAGAGGCGTTGGTGCACCCCCGCCTCAAGAAGCCCTCCCTGGAGCCTAGCGTACTGGACAATTTTCGTCCAGTCGCCCACCTCCCCTT